CTGATCCAATCACAATGCTTCCCCATAGGATTGGCTGAGACTGACAAGGAGGCAGATCAGGGGCAGAGCCAGCACAATTCAAACACAGCCCTGGCCAATCAGCATCTCCTCATAGAGATTAATTGAATCAATTAATCTCTAAGAGGAAAGTTCAGTGTCTGCATGCAGAGGGAGGAGATATTGAATGTTTGGATGCATTTTAGGCAGCCATGACCCAAGAAGGATCCCTACCACCCATCTAAGGAGTAGCCAGTGAAGTTATCAGTAGGCTGTAATGTAAACACTGCAGTTTCTCTGAAAAGATAGTGTTTACAGCAAAAAGCCTGAAGGTCATGATTCTACTCACCAGAACCAATTTAATAAGCTGTAGTTGTTCTTGTGACTATATTGTCCCTTTAAATTTTTATGCTGTGCCCATGTCCCATTTTAGAGTATTTTACCAGGCTATATAATCCAAATACCCCATAAAGCCATACCATTTCTTAAAGAAGACATCCCAGGGTATTGGCATATTTTGAACCTTAGTGTGGGATAATTTTTCCGCTAGCTTGTGCCCAGTGTAGTGGTAATAAGCATTTTTTCTGCCTTTTTGACACACAAAGTGAGTTTGCACAGTATATTTTGCAAACCTTATGCATGCTATGACTGTATAATACTTCATATGTTTCTCAGCTATTTCGTCTGAATACAGCAATACCCCCATAATTACCTTTGCCAGGTATATGTAGACATGGAAGGGGCACATTTGAGACACAGGCCTTCCAGTTCTTTTCAAACTTTGAATTTTTACACTGTGTCCATGTCCCATTTTAGCAGGCTATATAATCCAACTACCCCATAAAGGCATACCATTTCTTAACCCCTTAAGGACGGCTGGCGTTCTATGCCATCCTTGGTGACCCGGCTCTAAACGCCGGCGGGCGGCATAGAACACCCAAGCCGTCCTTTCTACTTATACATACATGGAAAAGTAGGTGGAGTATGGCTGGTTCTCAGGTATAACAATATTGGTGAACACTGGAAAAGACAAAAAATATAGTACTCACAAAGGTGGAGCCAATAGAAAAAGCTCAACTCATGGGCAGATGGGAATATTTGAAGGGATCCCACTCCCTTATTGGTTGTGATAGGAGTCTTCTTCCTCATCCAATAATTTCACTGAGCGTAAATTCCAGTATATGGAAATGCTTTATTGGGTAAAACAAGGGTAAAATAACAAAAGAAAATAAATTCTTATCAAGATAAAATCAAATGTCAATTAATTAGCTTGCAATTAGCTTATTTTTATAAGAATTTATTTTCTTTATGTTGATTTTATCTTTATAAGAATTGATTTTGTATTTTGATCACTGTAGGTAGTGATAAACTGGCAGGGAAGGGGTTAATTTTTATTAGGACTGGGTAAAGGAGGGTGAGATTTTTTTTTACTTTTAAAAAATAATTTATGAAAACATTTTTTTTTTACTTTTTAAAACTTTTTTTTTTAACGTTAACCCCTAGCTAACCTATGAATTTGAAGTTAATGGCCCAACAGTGGTACGCATGTAATGGGATGGGATCAGATGAGGGGGTAACCCTAGGGTAAACAAGATAAGTGCTAGAAAAGGTATAGGAGCATCACAGGAACCGGCCGTGTATGTCAAGCCCCAGACATATACGGCTGGTTCCTGTGACGCTCCTATGCCTTTCTAGCACTTATCTAGACGAGAACTTATTTAGGCAGATAGCAATCATTTTGGTAATCACTAGAACAGCGCACAGATCAGTATTGTCGGTCCTGTGATACCTCTTTGCCTCCTTGCCTCCTCTAGTATTTATTTAGACGCCAATGTATTTAGGCAGTTAGCTACCATTCAGATTATCACAGGAGCGGCATACAGGTTATAATCTTTATCCAGACAGCTAGTGATAGTACCTGGCAATACTAAACAGGTGCCCTTGAAGGCACAGACTAAGGGATAGTTTAGCCTGAGCCCTGTTGGACAAAAGGCACCTGTATTCTATATTTAATAGTATCAGCACAGCTAGATCCTCTTTGTTGATAGGTGCCCTAGAAGGCACAGACTAGCTTCTCTATAAGAGTTTTTATCTTGCTGGGACTGTCACTATCACTGTTTAGCCACTATTACTCCCTTCTATATTACACTGAGCAACCCCCACCATAAGGATCTACTCAGTCTTTATATGGTATCCTCCTTGGAGTTATGGCTATACTATAGACTTGCCGTCTGGAGTCTATAATACAGTGTTTTATTATATCTGGGTGTGAGACCTAGACTATTGTATAATTTAGGTAATTACCAGTGGAGATTTTTACAACACATAATAGATACATTTGTGTTGTATCAATTTCTCCTACACTTTTCTGGTACATCCAGTCCAACTGCACTGATCTAGCTACTGTGTATCTTTTTTCCAAACACACAGAGCCTTTTTGCAGCGATTTTATTTGGGGTGTACTTTTATACTCTGGAGTTTTCTGTCTCCACCCAGCCTGCATTTGTTTATATATGTTTTTCACTCCCCTACCCTTCTGTATATTATCTCTATCTCTGTCCATCTAGTTTATTTAGTGCACATCACCACGCTACTAAATTTTAGTGTAGCAAGTGCAGCTTGTGTACATTCGTTTGTCTTTTTGAGTCTTACAATAAAGTATCTTCTAGATTTTTAACTTTCATTATTTTTTTTCTCCTTATAACCATTCTGGGTCAGATTTTTCTCTCGTTCTAACCCTAGCTAACCTAACACCAAATTCTCCAATTCCCCACTAACTTCCACCCACCCCAGCTAGCTAAATATATAATTTTAATATATTTAAATTAATTAATAAAGTAAAATTAACCCCTGAGGGTTACAAAAAAATAAAAGTTAAAAAAAAATCAGATCACAGTAAAATGTAGTCCCTGCCAATTGTAGTCAGTGATCAATTGGCAGGGAATGGGTTAATTTTTATTTACAGGGAAATAGATCACTGCTGATCCTGCACTTCACACAGACCGCGGAAGAGCAGGGAGGCGGATCGTGAGTCCCTGCAGCCCATGTGCTCGCTCTGACAGCCTGTCTGTCACGGCGATCTGGGGTTAACGTTACCAAATGACAGACCTGGTCCATCATTCGTCACGAAGGGGTTAAAGGAACACTGCAGTAACAGGAATATAATCATGTACTCCTAACATTATAGTGTTTAACTATTTATGTCTACAGACCAGAATTTCTTGAAGTTTAGTATTTTGCAATTCTCTTGACAATTCGCCAAATTTCCCAATTAAGTAACTTAAACACTTTGCTCTTCATATACAGTGACTATGTGATTAAATATTGGCAGTGTTCGGATATCCATCCCTTTCCTGGCCTTTACTGTGGCTTTCTCACACATTAGGGAGAGAGAAGTCGCTTTGTCCTCAGTCACCTAAACAAACCCTCTCAGCCAGTGGCGTACTAAGGGGGGTGTATTAATTATGGGAGGGAGGTTTAATTATGGGGGGTGTATAAATTATGGGGGGTGGATTAATTATGGGAGGGAGGTTTAATTATGGGGTGTATTAATTATGGGAGGGTGTATTATTATGGGGGTGGATTAATACAATTATGGGGGGTATTAATTATAGGTGGGGGGGTGGATTTATGGGAGGGAGGAGGGAGGTTTAATTATGGGGGTGTTGGTATGGGGGGGATTAATTATGGGGGTTATTAATTATGGGAGGGGAGGTTTAATTATGGAGGGTGTTTAATTATGGGGGGTGTATTAATTATGGGGTGGATTAATTATGGGGGTGGATTAATTATAAGGGTGGATTAATTATGGGGGTGGATTAATTATGGGGGTGTTAATTATGGGGAGTGATTATGGGGGGATGGATTCATTATTGGGGGGTGGATTAATTATTGGGGGGTGGATTAATTTGGGGGGTGTATTAAGAAAATGTTAATTATTTAAATTGTATTTATTTCGAAGTTAAGTTATTTTTCATAGTTCCATTTTTTTCAAGTTGATATACAGTTTACAAATTTGTGAAATAAATATTATTGAAAACATTGAAAAAATTGTGGGTGTTTTCTTACATTTTTATTATGGGGGGTGGGGTGCCACACTCAGGGTCCGCCCCGGGTGCCAAATGCTCTAGGTACGCCCCTGCTCTCAACGGCTGTTTTAAAGGACCACTCTAGGCACCCAGACCACTTCAGCTTAATGAAGTGGTCTGGGTGCCAGGTCCTTCTAGGGTTAACCCATTTTTTCATAATTATAGCAGTTTCAGAGAAACTGCTATAATTATGAATGGGTTAAGCCTTCCCCCTAATCCTCTAGTGGCTGTCTCATTGACAGCCACTAGAGGCGCTTGCGTGCTTCTCACTGTGATTTTCACAGTGAGAGCACGCCAGCGTCCATAGGAAAGCATTGTAAATGCTTTCCTATGAGACCGGCTGAATGCGCGCGCAGCTCTTGCCGCGCGTGCGCATTCAGCCGGCGGGGCGGAACGGAGGAGGAGAGAAGGAGGAGAGCTCTCCGCCCAGCGCTGGAAAAAGGTAAGTTTTTCCCTCTTTCCCCCTTCCAGAGCCGGGCGGGAGGGGGACCCTGAGGGTGGGGGCACCCTCAGGGCACTATAGTGCAAGGAAAACGAGTATGTTTTCCTGGCACTATAGTGGTCCTTTAAGGGTTACCCTGCTACACCGAGGGGGTCTAAGTCCATAAATCTGCAACTATGCGCTATGCTTGTTTTATTTTTATCTTTGCTTAGCTGAACATTCTCAGTAGAATTGTATCTATGTAAACTATATGTCTAAACGATGTTTATGAATAATAAACCATCACTTTCTCCCCACTTGTGTTTCTGAGAAGTAGTGTAACTGCCGGACCGTTGGTAATTATTAATTACTAACACAGCCCGGATTATAACGGCCGTTTTACCGCCCCTCCCTCGCGACACCGCGCACGCGGCCTCGTGTCCGTCGACCGCCTCCCACCGCGTGACTCCCTGTAACTTGTCTCCATTAGTCCCCGCCCCCTCTGGCACCATGCCCGAGTGACACGCCTCGGGGTAACATGACTGCCACTGACGCTTCACCAAGGAACCAGTTCCCCGCGTGGGGGAGCCGTTTTGTAAATGAACGCCGCCTGCGAAACGGAAGAACGCGACGGTAAAATTAGACCGCTTCAACGGCCGGGTGCCCAACGGTGTCAACAGTTCCTCAGAGTGAGTGCCGGGAGCTGGTTGGCCGGTGTTGTGGGTGGGCAGTGGACGGTTTGGGGAGAATGTGCTGCCACCTCGCTCCTCCTCAAAAAGTGCCATATGGAGTATTAGGACGGTGTGTGGAGAGAGACCCGGGGGTGACTGCATCTGGGGGGATTTGGACGAGGTGTAGGCTGCGACCGGTGACCTCTGGTCGCCCCCTCCCCCCGTGTGAGTCCCCGGTGATGCGCGATGTTACGTACACCGGCTCACCTTGACGTTATTCCCGTGCCTGTCTCTCTCCGTGCGGCTTCCGCATCCTGATGTCAAATAGTTCTTCGCTTACTGAGTGCTCTCTGTAGGGCTGCAGGGAGAGCACTCACCACCTCCCAGGCCTGTTAGAACTCTGCTTATAGTTTTGTTTTTATTTAGTTTTTTTAGTAAACTATGAAGAGACTCTCAAAAGGATTTCTGAGCAATTGTGATTGCTGCTGTCTGTAAGATCGAGGCCCCAAAATAGTTTGTAGCAAAGGAGTCTCGCTCCCTCTGAGTTAGTACAAATTCACCCCACAGCTTGCTAAAGTGTGATCTCTGTCCACACTGTGTGTGTGTGATATTGTTTGACATGGCGCTTGTCCTCATCCATAGTGGTGTATATAATAACCATAAACACCATAAACATTTTAATAAAGCCATATAAAGGAGATAATTCAGCATGGTGAGTGTTCATGTTACGGTGAATTCGTGGGGGATGGGGGAGGTTGTAGAGAGAGAGAGTGAGATAATTGTATATGTGACATTATATGCAGCCTTTTGAAAATAAATTGTAGAGGACTGGAAGTGTGCACAAGAGTGATAAATAATTTTGTACTTTAAGAATGGAAGTTAAAGGCCAAACAAGATAAGGATGTGCTGGCTGACTTTTTGCGGATTATAAAGAAGGTATTAATTGTGATTGACATTTTTATTTTGCTAAAAACTTTATAATGAAGGCATTCATGTTTTGGCCAGTTTAATAGTGGTGTCGAGCGCTTGTGATAGTGTAATGTTTTCGTTACATTCCTGTATAGATTTATTTTATTACACCTTTACTATGTGTATTTTGTTTAACATCTATGCAATACTAAGCCCTTTGTTAATCAAAATATCTGGCGGATACAAATACAAATCCAGTTCTTCTATATGAATATTATTATTATTTAAATATGACTGAGGTTTTCACCGGATGACTGTATAATTCTGTAAATAGAAATTGCTTGTTTTGTTTAAAGAAATATTGCTCCTCAAGTGCAAATACTTAAAGGGATCCTATAGTGCCAGGAAAACCCATTTTCCTGGCACTATAGGCTCTTGGAGTGCCCCCCTCCCTCAGCGCAGAAGGGGTTAAATCCCCTTCAGCCACTTACTTTAATTCCCCACTCCCCCCCCAAGTGAGGACGTCCAGCATCAAATAAGTGCAATTTACTCTGCTATGTTTTCAGCTGCAGGTTTAAAACTAGGGGGACCTGGCACTTAGAGCACTTCATTGAGCTGACTTGGTCTGGGTGCCTATAGTGGTCTTTTAAAAGCTTAAAGGCACAGTATAATGTCAGGAATACAAACATGTATTCTTGACACTGTAATGTTAATGAACTATTTTAGTATCTGCCGCCACTGCCCAGATCGCAGTAAAAAATGTTTAAAGGGATATTATGGTGTTAGTAATACAAATTCCTAGCACTGTAAGATAGCCCTCTGCCTCCCCCCTCCATTGCAGCCCTCAGCCAATAAAGGGTTAAAAAAACACACCTTATTTACTTAATGTTGGGTCGGCCGCTCCTTTTCCTCAGACACCATCTAGTTGGGTGGGGGGAGGGAGGGGGCACTAATGCACGTGCTCCAATGCTTTACCATAGGGATTTCACTGATGCTGGATGTCCTCATGCAGAGCGTGAGGACGTCAACTGATCTAACATAGCCTAGCTAGCAGGAATCGTCTCTAGTGGCTGTCAGGTATACCGCTACGAGAGGCTGTCTTAGTGCTGCAATGTAAAAATTGCAGTTTCTCCATATTAAATGGCTATGTATGACAGTGACACTGAACACAGACCCATTTAATGAGCTGAAGTGGTCTGGGTGCCTATAGTGTCCCTGTAAACTTAACTCTTTTTTTTTTTTTTTCCACACTTGTCCCTGCTTGGCTCCACCTCCATAACTGAGATAGTTAATCTTGATGATCTCAGCCAATCTTATGCATTCCCATAGAAAACCATTGGGAAGCTATTGCACATGCTCTGCAAAATGCTGCACTGCACCAGTCAGCATCTCCTTATAGAGATTTATTGAATCAGTGCATCTCTATGGGAAGTGTTCAGACGGAAAGCACCTCTAGTGGCTGTCTGAGTGTCTGCCACTAGAGGTGTTACTAGGCAGCAATATAAACACTGACTTATCTAAAAATGTGGTATTTATAGAGCTCAACATGCTATAGATACAACCACCACTACAGGATGGGGGTCTGGTGACTGTAGTGTTCCTTCAACATGGATCTAATTTAAACTAAAGTCTACCTATTTGAATACATGTTTATCTGGCAGGTGAACATTATAAAGAGCTTTTTTTTTTTTTTTAATATCCAGTGTATAGTGTGTTAATCTCCCTTGGAAATGCTTTGTCAGATTTAACACAAAGCAACTTTACATTCAAGTATAAATTTGCATAAATAATTTTTCAAAAAATGTTTGCTCTCTTTCCGTTCGTAACTATGAAGCAAAGTGCAGATGAGCTATCCTTTTTCTTTAGGAAGAAGTTGCAGTAGCATTTCATCATCTTGCTGTATTTGTTCATACATGCTAGACATGTTTTGTAGTCCGATTTATTGTCAGAGGTCCACACGTTATTACATAATATTCCATCTGATATCTTGAATAGTTTTTGACAAACGTTTTGAAGACATCTGCAGTGTAAAACCAGTCTGCATCATTAGAAAAAGGAGTTCTGTATGAAAGTAAGAAAGAGAAAAAAAACATTGTTTTTTTTTAAGATATACCATGATTGAGTGTGCTTTATTGATGTTTGTATTGGAATCAAGAATGCTGAGGCAGAATATGCAACAAATATTAAAATGCTATGTATTATCACTAAAGGTTATGAATCTGCAATGGCTAGCTTTTCCTTTGCTCATAGAAAAGTAAAAATATTGTTATACCACTTTGTGTATTTAAATGGTGATACATCCATTGTTCATAAAACAGAGTGGCGTGGGAGTGCACACCTTAAATTCTTAATTCAATGAAGGCTAGTGTGAAGTTGTTAGACAATTCCATAATTATAATAGTCCATATGCTAAGTTTTCATGTGAATAAAGTTTAGAGAAAACGGAAACTTTGAAGTTGTTTTTTTTTTTTTTGTTTATACTAACAAGAGAAAAGTTCTCCCAAGAAAAAGCTGGTGGCAGGAGTGTAGAGGAACAGCATATGGCATTAAAAGGAGCACAGCTGGAGGTAGCATTTCCATCTGAACATGATGTCAGAGCAGCTGACAGCTTGCCATCCCTCAGCCTTTTATTCTAACACACAGACAGGGAGTCAGTGTTTGCAAAGCTGTGTGGGGAGAAGGTATCTCATTCCTCTCTAACATCATCTCCACTTTGCATCTGTTTCTGTTAGTCTAGGGTTTTTTGTTTTTTGGGGGTTTTTTTTTTTCTTCCTGTTTTAACTCCTACCCCTATCCCTGTACTAACCCAAAGACCTGAAATCAGCACGGCTGAAGAGGTACTCAATCAGGTTTATGTATTCAAAAGGTAGGATTTCTGGTAGGTGAAATATGTAATGTGCTGTCTGACCCTTTTATTTTGTGTTTAAAATTGTTATAAATGAGATCTAGTTTATAATTCATAGTTAAGAAATATATATATTTTGGGGGGTGGGGAGCTAATTTAAAATATATTTTTTTTGTTTTGTGTCTATTTCCATAATGTAGAAGAGTGAAATGGTGTGCACAAAGTTGCAATCAATAGATGAGGTTGAGTTGTAAGTTTAAATTTCTCAAAAAAAAAAAATATTTTCAACCTGTAAATAATTTTACTGTCTTTGAAGAAATGTAAAGTCTCCTTTTTTTTCCCCCTCTTTGGATTTGTTGGACTGGTGTCTATGCATGCTAACTAATTTTAAAACTTGTAGATTTGAGCTGCCTGAATTGGCCAGACAGCTGTAATCGCACTCCTCTATTCTTAATCTCTTTATCTGGGCAGCAGCTGCCATATGGCCACCGTCAGCTGGATCAGATGTTTATAAGCTTCCTTCTTCGTCCCTCTGTCTTTTCAGTCTCCTAATTTGATCACAGCTACCTTGTGAGCTGCCCTCCAATCTTTATTTTTAGTCCTCCTTAAGGATTAGGATTGATGTGGGTTATAAGGCTCTTAGAGTGATTGTATTTGTACATCTTGTTCATTTTAGTATATTTCCCCCCCCCCCAAAAAAAAACTAATGTCCTATAAAAGAAACAAAATGTCTCATTAGTTGCACATTAATTCTAGGCTTATTAAAATAGTCCAGCATTGGCATGCATGTTATGTTAAAGATTTTCCCTTTTTCGTTTGTTTATAGAGACCATAAGCTATAATTTATCAAATTGTGCACAATGTTTTACTTTTCTTGATTTAGAGATTAACAAAATGTAGTATTCTGTTAAAGAAGCAAACTCCACACCCGTGTATGCATATTTTGTTTAGGTCTCTTCAGTGCTAAAATGTAACCATATTTGCATTTGAATAAGTAATTAGAGCAACAGTTGAAGCTTTGATATGTTTTATTGCATGTTTAAGTAGTTTGCATAGAACATAATTAACATTGAAGATTCATAATTAGCCCATGTTTTATTAAAATATTTTATTTTGTGTTATAGTATTTCTTGTGATCCTAATATTTATGTATAATTTTTTTTTCGCCTCAATTTAGGCAATGAAGACAGGATGGAGTTTCCAGAGCATAGCAGACATTTACTACAATGCTTAAGTGAGCAGAGGCTTCAAGGTTTTCTTTGTGACTGCACGGTGCTTGTCGGAGATGCCCATTTTAGAGCACATAGGGCCGTACTGGCTTCCTGCAGCATGTATTTTCACCTCTTTTATAAAGACCAACTAGACAAAAGAGACCTTGTTCATTTGAACAGTGACATTGTTACAGCTCCAGCTTTCACACTCCTGCTTGAATTCATGTATGAAGGAAAACTCCACTTCAAAGATCTTCCAGTTGAAGATGTGCTTGCAGCTGCCAGCTATCTCCACATGTATGACATTGTAAAAGTATGTAAAAAGAAGCTGAAAGATAAAGCTACTACAGAAGCAGATAGCACTAAAAAGGAGGAAGACTCTTCAAGTTGTTCAGACAAAGTAGAGAGCCTTTCAGATGGCAGTAGTCACATGGCAGGCGAATTGCCCAGTGATGAAGAAGATGGTGAAGATGAAAAATTGAACATTTTGCCTGGTAAAGATGATTTGGCAACTGAATCTGGGAACATTTGGATAAGATTGCCTTCAGATTCAACAAGCATTCCCCAGACAGGCAGAGAAGTTGAAACATGCACAACAGGATCTAGGAAAACCATAGACAGCCCTTGTAGTTCTACAGGTTCATTTTCTCAGAGGTCTGTCCTATCTTTAAGGGGTTCATCGGATGCAGACACTGTGCTTGACCTATCTGTGAAGTCCAACCTTTCAGGATGTGAAACTGTGAACTGCTCTTACTTTCCACCTCAAGATGCACTAAGAAACAATCTACTTCAGGTGAAAGTGGAAAAGGAAGCATCCTGTGATGTAACTGAGACTACAGAGTATGATTTGGAACACTGTACTGTTAAAGGAAATGTGAGCACACATGTCAGGGGGCCATATGAGCCTGTCCATCTGACCCCGGTAAGGGAAGATTCTGTTTTAAGGGAGTTGGATCATAATGAAAAAGCTAGCGATGATGAAATTATTTCAGAAAATGCCAGGGTTCCAATGGAAGGTACCATTGAGAACAGTTTGCTTCCTTATGTTTCTAACATGCTTAGTCCTGCAGGGCAGATCTTCATGTGTCCTCTTTGCAACAAAGTTTTCCCCAGTCCTCACATCCTTCAAATTCATTTAAGCACACATTTTCGAGAGCAAGATGGAATTCGTAGCAAGCCTGGCAGTGATGTCCATGTCCCCACCTGCTCTTTATGTGGTAAGACGTTTTCTTGCATGTACACTCTTAAACGCCATGAGAGAACTCATTCTGGGGAAAAACCCTTCACTTGCACTCAATGCGGAAAGAGCTTCCAGTACTCTCACAATCTGAGCCGGCATGCTGTAGTTCATACAAGGGAAAAACCACATGCTTGTAAATGGTGTGAAAGGAGGTTCACACAGTCAGGGGACCTTTACAGACATATTCGAAAGTTTCACTGTGAACTGGTGAACTCCCTGTCAGTCAAAAGTGAAACATTGAGCTTACCAGCTGTAAGAGACTGGACCTTGGAAGAAAGCTCTCAAGAACTTTGGAAATAAGTGTGTGTGTGTGTGTGTGTGTGTGTGTGTGTGTGTGTGCGTGCGTGTGTTCGAGAGTTTATTCATGTTTGTTTTATATGCATGTATCTCTGTGCGTATGGATAATTATTCATTGTTGACATTTTAACTATAAAAGCACTTATGTTTTTAGGAATAAATTTTTAATTAAAAATGTGATGTTTAAGAGACATTCTCTATGACCTTATTAGTAAATTGAATAAGTGGGCCTTAATATTTAAAATGAACATTTCATGTCCACGTGGGAAATGTATCCATGCAACTTTGTTTTTAATGTGCATATGTGGTTTTTTTTTTTTTTTATTTATGAAAATGTACACTTTGTACTACTATAATTTATTTTAAGTTATGTCTTTTAAACTACATAAGTAAATTAGTCTAGCAATATAGAAGCTGGCTAAAACCTAAATGCTTTTTGATATTTATATTTCTGTAATTTAAATTTGTGTCCTACTTAAATCAAGCTTCTAAAATTCTGTTCATATTATATCTGCATCCAACACTATGCTTTGGAAAGACAAATATGCCATGTTTACTGCATTGAACTTGTGTTTGGAGCTTTATGTTGGGTTAAAAAAAACAAAACAAAAAAAAAAACCTATTTGAATTTTTTTTGTCTTTTTTCATTTTCTTTTTATAACAAGTGCGTGTGAGGGCATCATATAATTGGACATTACATTAATGCACTTACTGACTTAAAATATTTATGTATCAAAGCACGCATTTTTAAGTACAATTTTATGATTGTATCGTGGGGAAATAATTTTACTTGTGAAACCTATTGTGGTGTTATGAAGAATATCAAACATTCTTGATTGTTTTAGGTTTGGAATGTATTTTAATTTTTATTTTTTAGTATAGTGTTTGAAATTTCATATAGTAAGCTGCAGTTTTCAACATATAACATACATGTTTACATATAGACTAAAATATGCATGTTAATTTATACAAACTAAAACCTCATACTTCATTAAAACCTATTAAGATCCCATTTTTTATAATCGGGTATTAAGAAGAAAGGGTCTCAGCACTGGAAAGGTTTTGTGGGAAAAAAAATAAAATCTTGTGACAGCATTTAAAAGCCATAATTGTCAATGAATTTTTAGAGTTATGGCTACTACAAAATGTAGCCAAACGGCAAACTGACCTTTTTTTTTTTTTATATGGCCAATATAGAAATTTAAAGTATTCTCTTGTACTGTATACACAAATGTTTGTGGTCGCAACTTGCATATATTAACAAAACAAAAAAAACTAACTTGTTTTTGACCACCAATTTGTCTTCATTATACATTATATCTTATTTTTATATATATTAATAGAAAACTTGAGTACTATGGGGGAAAAAAAACAAAAAACTATAAACATTGTGCTTGTGCTAAGTCTTTACTAGTTCTGAATAATTTTTGTTTTAAAATGTGAATTTTGGGTAAAGTTCCAGACAAAAAAGCTGTGAAAATTAAGCTCTGAAACATTGTTTTGTTACTTGAAGTTTTTGTACCAATCAAAGTAAATGTTAAATCTGTAAATTATTTTAGTAATTTTAGAGAAGACAATCACATAAATTAAGCTATTTTGTTTGTATGTTTGTTTTTCTTTTAACATTTGGAGTTTGCGCTGTGTATTGCATTGCTTTTATTTTATTTATGGACTAGATTGACATCAAGCTTTGACAATCATGTCTTGTTTTATTTCACTGGAATCAGGTTTTGTAACCTTGTTTTAATTTTTGTACCTATGCTGGGTTCTGGTGAATTTACAAATCAGTGCAAACTTCAATAAATTATTTCAATTAGAAACCCATGGTGGTTTTTTTGCGTGCTTATGTCCTCCCAAGTTGTTCTAACCTTATTCATGTTTGTGTGCATTTTATAGAGGTTTTTTTCGTGCGTGTTTAGAAACCAGTTTGATTCCATTTTACGTTTAAAGAAAATATAACAAATCCTTTTCTTTTTTTTTAATTTTTTTTTTTTTTTTTTATTTCCTTCAATTGCTGCATTAACATTTCTGTATGTGCTGTTGTCATTTTAGACCTTTGTGTCTACATTTTTGAATTGTTTTAATATTGCTGGCAATAAGAAAAATGACAATCTACTTAATCGTGAAGTTTATTTGCTTCTATTTTTTTCAGTTTTAATCCTTTACTCCACACCCCATATGTTTGATCACATTATATGCCTTCACACTTTGACTCAAATGTCATTGTTGCATATTAAATGTAGTTTTTCAATACACATGGGTAGATTTGCATATCATATTGAATCATGTACTTTTTTTACAGTTATTACTTTTAGTCTAAACATGCAATATAGCAGAACACCTTTAAAAGTAATTGACAATGTAGAAGTGTCCTAGAGAGACTTGGTGATAATAAACATAATCCAAAGCTCTCTTGAATACTATAATTCCCAGGAAGAGTAAGTGACATTGAGAACCCCTGAGAAAGCTAATCTTAGAACCTCCAGTTTTACTATCTTTATATCGCAAGACTAATACTTTCTGGCATTTATGTATATATGTATGCCTTATGTAATGTGTGTATGTCCTGCTTGGTCTGTTTTTGTTTGCTTTTTAGTTATTTTTGCTGGTAGGATTCAATTTAAAGACTAATAATTGCTGTTTTCTTTTTTGGCTTGCTGCTCTCGAACAGTGAAGTAATTGTGAAAATAATCGGATGCAAGAATGTTACTTTCTCCATAAATTCTCTATTACACTTAGTTTATTTTTTTTCTGTTTACTAAAATACATTCTCAAATTGAGAAGATATAATATTGATTTAAGATGTGTAATTTAGCAGTGTGTCCTAAAATCAACATCAATTTAGTTAAAGATTTGGTAATTTTTACATGTAAAATGCACCAATGCTAAACTGGGAGAATTATTACAAGTGTAAAAAGCAAGGTTGAATAAAATAAAAAATTTGTCAATGCAACAAACACAAATATCTTTCCTCTGGTATGATACTGCATTGTTTTTAAAACCCCTAAAACTCTTGCATTTTTTTTTAAAGACCTTTTCACTATCAATATTGATCTTTTCACATACTTGTGCAGAAAGATGACACTCAGGGTTGGGCTCATTCACTAAAGTTAGGTATAAACAAAAAGCATGTTATTTGTACTATTGTAATTTCTTCCTTTTATATTAACTTTTTCAGTACAATTTGCAATCTGGTTTACTTTTATCCCTAAATGTAAACACATTTTCATATTATGAAAGATTAAAGACAGAATGTAGAGAAGCAAAGTTTAACTCACAACACCTAAAAGATAATGTAGTTTAATATAACATTACACTTATGCCACATTTTAATTCAAACTCACATTTTCTAGTGTTCTGGATTATTGAGATGGCACTTATAACCACAATAATGGGATATTCAATATCACCCTATTGTTTTCCCCACCTCTTGCCACAAATGTTTACAAGACAAATTTAATCTACAATTAATATATATATATATATATATACATACACACACACACACACACAGGATTATTTCTTATTTGGGTGTACAGGTTATTTGTCAATAAAACATTTGTATTGCCGGCAAAATCTATAATACCACTGGTGCTTATCTTCCAATATGTAAGTGTTTATTTTCCAGGTCACATTTTGAGTATTCTGTTGACTTTTTCATATGTAGGAAACTAAGCAAACATTCAGACTTCCTTTTTCTACTCATATATTTGGAGAAAAACTTAACAGAGCAAGGTATAAGAACTTATAAAGTAAACACACTGTGTTGTAAAACACAAATGATATATATATATATTTTTTTTTTCACTTCATGTACCCTGTGAGACTTACAGCCAGGGGAGGTGTGGTTAGAGCTGCATAAACTGACACAAAACGGATTCATAAATGGCAGAAAATTTAAGTGAGCTTTTTTTAGTGCCTAGAGTATGGGTTTTAATGTATTTTTCATAACTTTGTATGTCTATAATTTGCTGTGGCAAAGTGCATGTTTTTTCTTCAAACAAGTAATATACAGCCTTATGCTACATAACTAATCTTTATTTCATATATAGATTTCTGCTGTTGATCCAAATCAATTTTAAGCAATCTGGATTTTTGATGCTTTCTAATTGTGCTACATATCCTATTTTTAGCCCCCTTATTTCATATCGTTACAGCTTCCATGCCACAAATGCCAGATGATTTCAAAGAGATACATGCCATGCAAGTTCTTTATGTTCTGACATGGGAGATTAAGTAGTTTGCAACAGGTTGTAGGAATGCTACATCCATCACTTTTCTCTCCTCCGTGAGAACCACGCATGCCTCAAAATATTTTGTACAGATATGTGCGATCCTTCACATCAGAGGTAAACCTGTCCTTTAATGCAGACCTGCAGGAAAATCCCAAATCTCCAATTAGTCAGGTCATGTGGGATTTTTTTTTTTTTTAATAGATATACAGTAACAAATGCCTAGATGTGTTGTCTTTAAAGGGTTACTCCAAGCAGCATGACCACTTAAAGGGACACTCCAGGCACCCAGACTACTTCTGCCCATTGGAGTGGACTGGGTGCCAACTCCCACTACCCTCAACCCTGCAATTGTAATTATTGCAGTTTTCATAAACTGCAATAATTACCTTTCAGGCTAAGTCCTCTCCTAGTGGCTGTCTACTAGACAGCCACTAGACAGCCACTAGAGGGCACTTCTGGGATCATAGCACAGCTTCTGTGCTATAGCGTTGCTGGACGTTCTCATGCTGTGTGAAGACCTCCGTCGCTAAAATCCCAATAGGAAAGCATTGAAAAGCATTTTCAATGCTTTCCTATTGAGAGCTCTAATGCATTGGTGCGCATGTGCAGGTTTCCCCGGCGGGCGGGATCAGTCTCCCCTGCAGGCTGACTTAAAGAATGGGGGGAGCGGCGGCTGAAGAAGCAGGGACGTCGCTGCCTCTGGTAACTGACTGAAGGAAGGGGTCATGGGTGGGAGGGAGAGAGGGCCTGCAGTGCCAGGAAAACTGCAATATTATTTTGTGCACATATCTATCCTCAGACACTCATTCATTGGCTGAGACCCTGATTTGGAGAGATCTATTTCCACAACATTTTCCAAATTATCTAGTAAACAACAAGGTATTTTGATTTATTTCTGGAGACTTGCATCATCTCCAGGACACTAAGGTAGACACATCAGGAGAGACAGGTACACTTAGAACCTGCACACTTAAATCACAATGCAGGGAGTTCTCAAAAGAGTTGTATGATACGTGGTGCTCCTTGAATTAGGGAATATACCTATTCTTCCCAGGTTTACAATTCATATCCTAGGATAGAGGGGTACCTCATGCGAGATTTACATTTGTCACATGTGGCATAATGTACAATTGGTCTAGTGTAGAAACATAGAATGTGACGGCAGATAAGAACCATTCGGCCCAATTTTCTAAATACTTTCATTAGTCCCTGGCCTTATCGTATAGCTATGATAGCCTTATGCGTATCCCACGCATGCTTAAACTCCTTTACTGTGTTAACCTCTACCAATTCCGCTGCAAGGCTATTCCATGCATCCACTAACCTCTCAGTAAAGTAAAACTTCCTGTAACGGAACTCCTTGTACTCCGACTGAGTACCCTCCGTTGACGGATGCTCCTAGCGCTTCCTGAGGACTCCAAGCAGTGCAGCAGACACCACAACCACCGCAGACTCCACAACCGCTGTATCTTGACTGGAGTCTCACTGTCTTCCTTCCACCCTGGATCAGCTTCTGACCTCCAGGACTGTGTGGGAAAGAACTATTCCTTCCACCCTGGATCAGCTTCTGACCTCCAGGACTGTGTGGGAAAGAACTATTCCTTCCACCCTGTATGAACCTCCAGCATCTGGGACTGTGTGGTGAAGACCCCCTCCTCCAAGGAGAGTGTGGAACAAGCTCTTAAAAAAGCTAAGTGATTCAAGCTCAGAGGAGCATGCAGAGCATAGCAATCCCCAGTGTGATTATTTTTTTTTAAAGAAAATTTTTTTATGTCTAAACCAAAGTTTTTTTTTTTAAATGTAACAAATGTATTGTATGTAAATCTACAAATCCAGCCACCAACACCAAAACTACCGATTTTTCATCCACCATCACAAAGGTATCATATCCTATCAAAGATTTTATTGTCTGTAACACTAACAATGTTATATATCTACTAGAATGCCCTTGCGGACTTCAGTATATAGGCATGACGACAAGATGCCTAAAAACTCGCCTAGCTGAACATTGTCGCAATATTAAAAAAGGCTATGACAACCACTCAGTTTCCAAACATTTTTTAATGCATAATAAAGACCCAAGATCTTTAAAAGCTATTGGAATAGAACAAGTTACCATGCCCTGGAGAGGTGGGGACATGAAAAAAATCTTAGGGAAAAGAGAGATGAATTGGGTTTTTCAATTAAAACCTCTCTGTCCCAATGGTCTAAATGCAGATTTTGATCTTTTTAACTTTTTATAATATAATCATTATTTATATATACATTACATTTTCTTAAAAAGAAAAAAAATTTATTTTAAATTTTTTTTTCTCTATATTAGATTTATCAATATAATCTTTATTGTGCATTACTATTTTTAATATGCCCACCCCTAAGTAGGTCTAATCCTGTTTCACCATATGCTTATCATTTTTTGTCAGACATTTTTACACCTTTTATTTATCAAGCATATACACAATGTTATATGACCAGCACTGTTTACTTTATATTCTAATGTCTGGTCTTTACATGTTGGGAGCATGCCTTGCGCTGTTTTTTATTTAAATTACATTTTTATTACTCCTTTGTCACATTCCACGTGATCGCGGCTGTTCGCGATCACGTGGTTGTTATTCTCTATTCGCCCATTGTGTTGCCGCTTAGTATGCTGTTTCTAGCATACATTTCCCTTAGTCCCTTTCCACCACACCACGTGACCGTGGCAGCTCGCGATTACGTGCTTCTCT